TATTATTATTATTATTATTATTATTATTATTATTATTATTATTATTATTATTATTATTATTATTATTATTATTATATTCTTTCATGCTCTGTGGATGTGAACGGTTTGTTAAGGGATCGGGCATGTGTGGAAAAATTGCGCAAGTAAACAAACCCTAATAGAAGGCAAAACATGACCACATAATAATAACTACATTATTGGACATTGATGAAAATTAAAGTCGGTGCTTGAAGAAAAAATATATTTCAGTCACTACGCATGCACCACACTACACACGAAAGTCCGTGCAAAAAAAAAAACAAAAAAAACGAGAAATTTTACCAGAGTCTTATCGTTAGCTCATCATTACGTTTTTGGATATTACTACGCACAAGTAGAATCTAGCAATTAAATTATAGTGACTACACTGTACATTGTAAATTGTTTAAAATCGTTTATAATTCTCAAGCAGCTTTCTAATTGGAACAAAATCCATAAGTCTTTATTGAACACTTGAAAGATACAACATAGAATGCAATAACTGATGCAAGTTCAAAAATTAATTTAATAAACACTGATGTAATAGTGATGCCTCTACCCACGAAAATTGGAATCAATAAACTGACTTAACACTGTCGAAAGCAAGATATTGAAAATTACTTATAACAGCGTATATTGATGAAAACCCTCCAAGAAATTTAATACTAAAAAAGACATATTAATATACAAAGACAACGTACATAAAATACCCTAAATTTCCTTTCTCACATTCGAGTTTAGTTAGCTAACATTTTACCAATGTCAGCAGCTAATATCACTGATTGTGTTCTTTCTACTTTCGTAACAAGAAGATATCTGGGGTTTGTGGAGTCTTCCATTAAATGAAAGTGACGCTTGCATGGGTATTGGCGTAATAATGTATGAAGTGGATCGATTGTTGATCGTATGGAAATGTTGAAAATGATTGTCTGTTGGATCGTTGTTTGTCATATCCGAATGATGGATGGAAGTGCCACAAAAAGACATTGGGAGCGGATAAGAACTGTTTGTGTGGGTACCGACTTGATTGTGAATTGGTAGATTTGAATGTCCATTAATTGTGTTAGAGTTACCCGGATGAACATAAGAAGCTGAGGGATTACTCTGATAGCTAGTACTTTCACAATGCATAGTACGCATAGAATCGGAAGGTGGGAAATCTCGAGTATGTGGTTGGGCTTGCAAATTAACTTGTCGATCTATCAAAAACGAAAGTTTTTGCGTTAGCGTAAATAATGTGTAACAGACTATTAAATATATTCATTATATTCATTACAGTCCCTAATTTCATATGGACGGTAATAACGGTAATACCAGTAATAGCCGTAATACCAAAATACAGTACACATCTAGTATTAGAGCCGCCCACAATAACTTGAGCACGCTCTCCTCACAACAACAACGTATTTGTGGATTATAAAAATATATTGATCATACCGAAATGTTGAGAATGATCATTAGTCAGACCGCCGTTCGTTGGATTAATATTAATATCGGAATAAGGGACGGAAGGAGCACAAAATGTCTGAAAAGATACTGGAATCAGACCAGGGTTTGTATGGGTTTCGACTTGGCCGCGAAGAGGTGTATTCAATTGTTCATTCGGTGTGTCAACGTTACTCTGATGAACACCTTCTGAGAGATTACCTTGGTATAATGCATAATCGTCTGTATAAGTCTCGGTATCTCTGTAGTCTATACTACTCATTGACATATTATCGGGGATAGAAAAAGAGATATCAGAAGTGTGGAAATCTTGGATACGAGATTGGGATGGTAAATTAATGACCAGTTGATTTGCGTCATCAAAATCATCTGGGTAAGATAATTGACGGACACAATCGTTGTTCATATCATTCGGATCGTTCATTCTATCATGGTACGTCTTTTTGCGTGTTTATGGTATTATTATTAATTCGTTACATAACATATACGGAACTTTGTATTTGTGCTGCTGAAAATGCAGGCTGTGTGACCGCTTAATCGATCCGTACTCCTGTAATACCAGAAATGGAAACGACTATAAGAAATCTTGATATAGCTCGCTACTGTACTAAACAAATCTGCTGTCCTACCATTGCAAATAAATTTAGCCGCGAAATTTAGTTTTGATATTAAAATTACAACTGAAGTAAACTCAAACTAATTGTGTTTTCAGTCAACCCTCAACTAAACACTATATATTTTCTCTCTAAATGCAAGCTCTGATTCGTCCCGAGCTTATACGCTTATTAAATATTTCACTATTGGTAAAGGCAACCACTCCGTAAACTACAAGTTGTATGGAATTGCAATTGGTTACCACCGTACAGTCCCCGGCGAAAAGAATGGCGGACGCATTTTTTAAAGATACGTAAAATTTTCATTATTAATTTTATTTATTTATTTATTATTTTGAAGTACGATACTAACACAACGTTTTTTATTATATGACTAATATTTCGTATGGCCTCCTTGTGCATTGATGCATGCTTGAATCCGGTCTGGCATGC